CGATTTTAATTGGATGCGACGAGTGATTCTTGACGTGATTTTTGTTTTTGAAAAATATTCGAGAAACATTCTATTTATTCGTTACGTATAGCGGAGCTATCGAGCTAAACGTTCGCGAGATGCCGCGGATGTGTTTTATGGCTTTCTTTGTCCTATCCTTTTGGTCGGACTCTTTCGCTCTCGCTCGCCCTCGCAGTGGCTCGCCAGGAGCAAGCGAGAACGGTACAAAAATACTAAAGCCGAGGAGTCAGTCAATTTTATTCGTCGGTCTCGAGAGCAGGGGAAAACCAGTGACAGGTTAGGAAGCAACACGGACGCGGAGAGGAAGAGAACACATGGCGGAGGAATGGCGCGCACGAACCTGGCAAAGCGGACGGAAAGCAGAAAGCAGAGACCCTAGAGCCTACACGAATGACTGGTTTAATTATCGAATAGCCAGAGGCACGTATCGCGGCTACGTACTTTTGCATCGGCTTAAATGCCCTCCGCGCGCACAGTTAAAGCGTTCCGAACTCTGGGAGATTTCCTTTGTAGCGGCCGTATCTCGGCATCTGGTTCAACATATTTCCTTAAAGAGCTAAGTACGGTAATTGTACGCTTGCCAAGACGTGGAAGTTAACAGGCCACTAACCTATCGATGGTGGTCCCCGTGAGCAATGTTCTAGCGAGTCGCGAGTATCCTCGAGGTCGTTTCAAAAGGATAACGATTGTAACAAGCCTGGACGAAGATCCCGAGAGAGATAATGAAGGAGTTAAGAAAAGAATCGTAAGTGCGAGGGGAAACGATCGAAGAAGAAAAAAAGAAACAAGGTAATAGATATAATGACGAAAAAAAGGGATTCAGAGAAGATGTCCTGTAGGAAGGGTAAAAATTGGCCTTCAAGATGGCACAAAGTGGATCGATACGAGTCCAAGCTCTCTCTCTCTATATATATATACGTCGCAAACAGGCATTACATATATATATATATATATCACGACTTGACTCGCGTAGTATCCAAGTCGAGCTATCGTTCCATTAGGTACGCGTCGGGCATAGGTCGCGTAAGTCGAGCCTCGAAAGCCTGGGAACTGATTCGAGCCGGGAAGACGGTTCACTGGACGAAAAATTCGATCCGGATAAGGAGGTTAGGTTAGGTCGTACCGAATGGTTTCCACGAGAGATCGTCCCTGAGGAGTAACGGATAGAAATGGGTGAGCGAGAGAGAGAAGAAAAGTTTCGAAGTGGAAGCTACAATGGGAATAAGAGTAAGAAATTGTTATTGGCTGATGATTGGAAGGAGCGTCGTGAGGATCTTTGATCCATTTCCAGGTACCCTGGTAGAAAGGTCTGCGTTTAGGGTAGTCGTCCGGTGGACAGGAAGAAAATACTTTACCGGGTAAGGGAAGCAAACGACTTTGTCCTTAAAGTTTATAACCACGGCGGGTGGCGGGGAGGTGCAGCACCCTTACCCAGTAGCTACTAGGCGAACTCGTGCCTATTGGTTATTATTGTCTTTATGAGTACTTTCCGTTTTATTTAGAATGGCGACGCAAGAGCGGAAGGCTTTAGAGGACTTTAATGTCTGGAGCGGTGCTCGAGTTCTGGATGAGGGTCGCGGCAGGGGAGGGCTGGAGATTGGATGATAGGATGAAGGGAATTACGCACGGGAGGTAAAACAGTAAAATCGAGAAACGCGAAATCGTCCTTTTCAAAATGGAATCCTATACCGGTTCTGAGAGTTCGATAGACTCTCGATGAAATTCGTATATATTTTACACGAGGAACAAGGAATATTTACGAGGGCCCCGTGTGTGCCCTTTGGAGTTTGAATTCTTCTTCAACGACTTCCGGGATCTTCCGCCTATACGGCTTTATTATGTCGGGTGTCTCGTAAGACGCGAAGCGTAATCCGTTCTTTAAAAAGTATTCCTACGGTAGTCTTTTGCTCGATTCAAATACGTTAAGCCTTTTTATTTGGCAGATTTTACTTGGACGATTAATTGTTGCGATTTGTAAGTTTTGAAATCCGAGAACGTTTCGCCGATCAAGGCTTTGGTAATGGTGAACGGCACGCGCCCAGTCGACGGCGCCTACCTGTCGGGTACTCGGCTCCGTAGGCGTCAACAATTTCGCTACAATCTCTTCTTCGCGAAGATCAATACTCGAAGCTGCAAATTTATTATCGGTACGCTAACTGTGCGTCGTTATACGTCGACGGAGAGCAAGCAGAAATCTTACTTAAAATCATATACTGTGCGCAGTGCGAAGTTTGATTGAAGTTTAGAAAATTTTAATTTTTTTCAAGGAGAAAACTCGAAAAAAAATTTTCATAATAATTTTTAACAATTAGCCAGGTAAGTGTAGTCAGCCACGCTCAGAGCTTTGACTTACGAACGTCATGTAAAGTAATTAGAAAAAATTATTTTCAAACAAAATTTACAAGTCGCATTTACGAAAAATAAATTTAGCACGTAGGAATAATATATATTATAGTAAAAATAATTCACTCTTGTAATCTAAATTTTGGGTTAGACCGGCGCCTGCAAGAAACCTCCTACAGGACTTTTTTTTTTATGGAAGATCAGCTTATCTAATCGCCAACCGGCTCTGCGCGAACCCATTTTTCTTTCTCTCTTTTTCCTTCCCTCCTCCCTTCGGGACGAAAGTCCCGAGGACGTTTCGACGAATTTCGATAGTACCCAAGAGAACGCCACAAGGCACTTTGATAAATTTATCATAGCGCGTGAGCATACGAGCGACTCGTCCAAGCAAAAATAGGAGGAGTACCTACTCAAGTACTTCTTGATGGTCTCAAGGTGCTCCTGAAAGCCCACTCTTTAGAAAGGAATGTATGCCAGCGCGATAACGGGCGAGCCATTCCCGATACCAGAAGGGAAGTCGTGATAAGCGATAAAAGACAGAAGGCGTGCACTGATTGTAAAATTAATTGACGACTAAATGAATACACTTATATAAAGACAGCTTTTAGTAATTTCGAGTAATTTGAATAATTTCGTCTTAATTCTTATTCTCTCTCTTTTTTCTTTTTTTTTTTACATCGCTTGTTTCCGCTTTCTCTACCTCTCTTCCGTACCACTGAACACCCGAGTCGCAATCGGATGACTATTTATCCCACGGATCAGCCGGAGCTTAAAGCTTTGCAATCGTCTTTCGTTTCACCCTTTTAATTATTCCTTCGATCTCTTTACTTAAGCGCAGATTAAGAACGTCTTAGCTACCATTTTCAAGATACAACAGACACACTACTCGACTGTTTTTTTACGACACGTGTATACCTACTTCCGTACGCCGGAAGTTCCTTTCCGCGAAGGAAGGATGTCTTACTCTGTGTACTATATACATATATATATCTTGTAGACGAATAGAGAATTCGAAAAATTCGAAAAATCCCAACGTTCTAGGAGCACTAACAGAAGAATTTTCTCATCGTTCCACCTAGTTATATCCGAAGCAACATGATCCAATAGTCGAGGCAAAGACCTTCCAAAAACAAAAGGGTAAACTCGAACTCGAGGTAGCAAATTCCTGAAACTCTCTGCGAATTCCCGAAGAAACAGGAGATAGTGGTAGTCAAGCTACAGTGGAGTCTAGCGGAGTAATGTTAATCAAAAGACAAATTGATTCCATATACAAGTCATTCTATATATCCTATACCGTATACCGTGCGCGTCCGTAGGATACATTCATCCTAAGTCTTTAAAATGTTCCGGACGTCTAAGAATAAAAATCCAGTTACGATCCTTCATCCAATACCGATCTCCGTGTCATGATCTCTCGAATGGCAATTAATGCGATACGTATACAGCGCCAGGTATACCCCCCTTATACATAGGAGAGAGACCTTTTACTTATCGAGCCGGCTAAGTGAGTCGGCGTTCGAGCGAGGAGAGCGATTATTAATTATAATCCTCGCAGGAGGCGCACGGGCCATGAATCAACGGTGGCGTAAAGGCGGTGGTAACCATACCAAGCGTGTAACCGTCGAAATCTTTCCACTGGGCAAACAATGCGCCGATTATTAATCACGCGGGTTCTAGAACGCGAGAAACGCGTGAGACTCTTAACGCACCTACCTGTAATTGCCTGGGGACGGAATTGGTGTACTGGGAGAAGTAAGCAAGTAAATCCAGTCCGTATTGGGATGGTTTTCCGGGTGCTTTGTTAAAAGAGGTTTGCAGTAGTGGGAGAGAAATAGAGGAGTAGTAGGTGACGTGGGGGATGTAGGGGATGTAGGGGTGGGTATAATGGCAAAACTCTCGTTTAATTAGATCATTCTTAATTAATCACAATCTCGTGTTGATTGCCGCCTACGCGCATGATTCAAAATGTCAGAGCGACAATGAGAGGCCGTTGCACCGGGACGCGTATAATTACGAGAGAAGGGGAGGAAACGGAAAGGGAGACTTGAAAAAAAAAAAAAAAAAAAA